CCCCACCCCCCCCCCCACCACCCCCACCAGCGGATACCGGGCAACGTGAGCGGCAGCTTCACCCTCATGAGGGACGAGCGGGGGCTGGCGTCCATGAACAACCTCTACACCCCCTACCATAAGGATGTTACCGGCATGGGGCAAAGCCTCTCGCCTTTGTCTGGATCGGGCCTGGGGGGCATCCCTTTTTCCACCGCCTTCAAACCCCCCCCCCCCGCCATGCTAGCCCGGCACGGCGAGCAGCACCTCACCCCCACGTCGGCGGGCATGGTGCCCCTCAACGGCATCCCACACCACCCCCATGCCCACCTCAACGCCCAGGGCCACGGGCAGATCCTGGGCTCCGCCAGGGAGCAAAACCCCTCTGTGACTGGCTCGCAGGTCAACAGTGGAAGTAATTCAGGGCAAATGGAAGAAATCAATACCAAAGAAGTCGCTCAGAGGATCACCACCGAGCTCAAGCGGTACAGCATCCCCCAGGCTATCTTCGCCCAGAGGGTGCTGTGCCGCTCCCAAGGGACCCTCTCGGACCTGCTGAGGAACCCCAAGCCCTGGAGCAAGCTCGCGCAAAAATCCTCTGCAACTTAGCGCTCACGCGTGTGCGTGTATGGGTGCGCGCACTGGCACGCGTAGCAGCTACGCGGACGCTGCGCGCGAGTCCCTCAGTGCGCGGGGCCGCCCGCCCGCATTTACCTCTTTGTCCTCTTTCCAGCGCTCGCCTTGTTCACACGCGAATTAAGGCCGGCGTCGGGGGTAGCTCAGAGGAAAAAGGCCCAAAGTGGGCATCGCTGCGCGGGGATTTGGGGCTGCGCGCAGCGGCTCCGCGGCATCGTGGGTGCGCGGGGAGAGCAACGACTCTCGGCGGGGCCGGGGGGGCTGCGGGGAGGCGCCCCCGGGGCGCAGAGCCCATTTTAGCTCCGGATCCCGTTTGTTTTAGATTAGGAGTTCTGCACGGGTGTTGTTTTCCCACAAATGACATGGGTCGGGAGTGTAACTGGTGGGTGAAGAGCAGAAGAAATGCAATTGGCTAAAATCGTTAGATTTTAACTGATTGCAATTATCGTTAGCCCACAGAGTTTGCATTTCGTATGGATACTTCTGCACGTGGGAAAGAGCCTGTGTCGTGTCCCTGTGCTGCTCCAGAACCTCAGACATGCCTCAAATTTTGGTGGCTCGATCTATTCCTAAGGATCAGCTGCGGTATTGTCTACTCAGGCATCCTAACGAGCAGAGTGTGTTTCCGTCTTGTTTTGTACCTGTTCTCCGCCTGCCTCCCCCCTAAATCCGCCAACTTGTGCGCCCGAGCCCGAGTTTAATATGCCGTGAGTGAGGGGTTGTTAATTAAGTGATAGGTCTCCATTAATTTGTCCCTGGAGAACGCGAGACAGTCGATCCGCGCTGGAGTCGGGGTCACTGATCCGTTTCACGGATTAAAAAAAATAGGCAAAAAAGAAGGATCAAATATTTCTTCTTTCGAGCACGGAAACGTTCCTGCGCTGGAGGGGCTGTGTGAACCGGGAGCCGCTTCCTGCACGCCGGGGACCCGGCTGGGGTGCGGCCGTTTCGTTGCCGGTTTTCCGCGACCCGCCTGGCTAGTGAAGGGACCCCAGCGCCGTGGCTCCCTGCGCCCGGCAGCGGGAGGACGTTGCTCTCCTCCCCTCCCGCAGACTCTGTTTCAAAGGTCTGTGCTGCGAGGAAATGCCCTTTCCTCCTTCCCTCCCTCCACAACCACCCCCACGAGGAGCAGCCCCTCGTCTTGCTGGTGCGGTCCAGATGAGGAGGACGGCGTTTGTGTTTCCAATATCCCCTTAACGATCGCGAAGGCGAACTCGCTTCGATTTGGAGTGTATTTTTACAATTCGCTCGACCCGACTCTCCGCTCATTTGCATAGATCGATACCGGGAACAACCTCCGCGCCGGAGCTGCCGGCATCCCGCTCGTGCGGGAGCTCCGCGCGGCGCCGCTCGCTGCGGCCCGGCGCTGTCCCCGCCGCCAGCCACCGCGGGGATAAGCGGATCCAGCTAATCCCGTTACAGGGACAAAGACTCATTATTTCCCCCACCCTTTTTTCTTCTATTTTTCATTTCAGATCAAACCTGAAAGTGGAACCTTGGAGAAAGGACCTCCCCGGGGCGGCACGGCGCTCGCAGCCCGTGCCGGGAGGGAGAGGCCCGGGAAAGGCAGCGGGCGCGCGGGGGGCGCTCCCGGCCGAGCTGGGGCCGCTCCAGCCCCGCGGAGTTGGGGCACGTTGCGCTGAGCGCCGCGGG